GCTTTGAGACTTTTGTCTCAAAAACACAAAGTGAGTCCATGGAAAGAAAGCCAGGATTTGGTTTTAAAGATGGACTGAAAGCTGTTTGACCAAATGGTCCTGGTTGCTGAGAGTAGAAAGCTACACTTGAGGAATGTCCTAGCCCACTCACGGGATCATTTACCATGGGCAATGACAAATGCTGATGGCTCTCTACGGAAGACCAACAAGGCTGCATTTGTCGCATAGCTGGTGAAGAATGGCTCTCCTGCAGAAGACATCCCCATGTCATCAACCTGCATCATTGATGGTATGAGCCTGGTGCAGAAGATGAATGGCAACAATAAAACTTAACAAAGCTGGAAGAATCTGCATTGTACCTCGTCTTGAATGAGGGTGCATACAGTCAAAGGATCAATGTTGTTTTTGACATCTATTGTGAGACACCAATCAAAGATGCTGAGAGATTAAGTGGGGAGCTGGAAGTACAACCTTTCAGTACAAGAATATTGCAGGAGGGCACAACATCCAACAGTGGAGAAAGTTCTTGTGCAGTTCTGGCAACAAGACCAGTCACACCAAATTCCTTGTAGAACAGTGGAAATTACCAATCCAAAGAAATAGCTGAATCATAAAACACTAAGCTATAAGTCAACTGCAAGGAAGCCTACTACAGGATGACAGAAGATGATTGCCTAGATATCACTGAGTTACAGTCCACACAAGAACATAAGAATGGAGGAAACTGCAGCGGGCCTATTGGCCCACACTAGGCAGTCCCATTTATGCTCAACCCCTATTGCTCATATATCCCTCCACCCTATGTTTGAAGCTATCCAGCGTATTCGAGTCAATAATGATGTTTGGTAAGCTGACACATTGCTGCTGCATGCATTGCAAACCTTAAATTCTGGCTCGAAAGCAGTAATAGTCACAGCTGAGGACATTGATTTCATGGCCCTCTGCATTGGATTCCAGAAACACAGTCTGTGCCCATTTCCCTGAAGCATGGCACCCGCACACAGTTTGTCGACACCAGCAAACTAGGAAGTGCAAGAGGAGAAAGCATCTGTAATATCTTGATAAGGTTATAAGCCTTTGCAGGCTGTGACACCGTGAGTGTCTTAGCTGGTCATGGGAAGCTGGCTCCCTGCACCTGCTGAAGATCATTGCCTTCCAGGAGACTTTCAGCAAACTTGGACAGTCATGGGATGTCTCCCCAGACCTATGACAACCAGGTGACCTCGGCGCCTTGTAGCCTGTGACAACCTGGTGACCTCGATGCCTTTTGACCTGTGACAACATGGTGACCTTGATGTCATATAACCTGTGAAAACCAGGTGACCTCAATGCTTTGTGACCGGTGACAACCTGGTGACCTATATGCCTTGTGACAACCTTGTGACTTCAATGCCTTATGACCTGTGACAGTCTGATGACCTTGATGGCTGGTGACCTGGGACAACTTGGTGACCTGTGACCACTAGGTGACTTCGACAACTTGTGACCTTTGTTTTGAGTGATTTGGCACAGTCCTATCTAGCACTACCACACACCGACCTAGCACTACCACACACCTACATAGCACTACCACACACCTACCTAGCAATACCACACACCTACCTAGCACTACCACACACCTACCTAGCACTACCACACACCTATCTAGCACTACCACACACCACAGTACCACACACCTACCAGCACACCACACACCCACTACCACACACCTACCCACACTACCACACCCACACCCTATCACACACACACCCAGCCTAGCACTACCACACACCCACCAGCACCACACACCCCACCCAGCACCACCACACACCCTCCAGCACTACCACACACCCCAGCACCACCACACACCCACCAGCACCAGCACCTTAGCAGCACTACCACACACCCACCCAGCACCACACACCCAGCACTACCACACACCTACCCAGCACACACACACCCACCCAGCCAGCACCACACACCCCACCCAGCAGCACTACCACACACCCACCCAGCACCACACACACCCACCCACACCACCACACACTACCCAGCACCACCACACACCCACCCAGCACACACACCACCCACACCACCCACACCCACCAGACCACCACACACCCACCCAGCACCACCACACACCACCCAGCACCACACACACCACCCAGCACCTACCACACACCCACCCAGCACACCACACACCTACCCAGCACCTACCCAGCACACACACACCCACCCAGCACTACCACACACCTACCCAGCACCACCACACACCTACCAGCACTACCACACCCACCCAGCACTACCACACACCTACCCAGCACTACCACACACCCACACCACCACACACCCACCCAGCACTACCACACACACCCACCCAGCACTACCACACACCTACCCAGCACCACCACACACCCACACACACCACACACACAGCACACACCCACCCAGCACTACCACACCCACCCAGCACTACCACACACCTACCCAGCACCACCACACACCCACCCACCACACACTACCCACACACCCACCACCCACACCCACTACCACACACCCACCAGCACCACCACACACACCTACCCTCACCACACACCCACCTAGCACTACCACACACCCACTACCACACACCACCACACACACCACCCAGCACTACCACACACCTACCCAGCACTACCACACACCTACCCAGCACTACCACACACCTAGCACAACCACACACTTACCTAGCACAACCACACACTTACCTAGCACAACCACACACTTACCTAGCACTACCACACACCTACCTAGTACTACCACACACTTACCTAGCACTACCACACGCCTACCTAGCATTACCACATACTACCACACATGTCATGCAATACCAATAACCTGCGAAATACAACCATAGCTACAAGAATCTACATACACACATCTGATTTTTTGTAGAATTTTGTATACAGCATATGGGTCAGAGCAGCAATAATTGTTGTATGTTAAAATAGTAAAGAAACGGGTTTAATTATTTCCATACTTGGCTCAGTAAGGGATTTTATGATTCGCTAGTGGGGTGTATTCCTTCCCGTGACACAGCTGGTCTACGCCGCCCCCACACACCGGAGTGTTGGCCCCGTGACGGTGGTGAGGAGGACCCGCTGTCACCACAGGTTGTGACAGCGTTCTGGTCTCTTTACACAGATGATCATTATCTTGCACAACTCTCTCACTGGAACTTGATGAATGTTTCCGCCCATGGTGTGGTAAGTCGCCGCGCACATCAGTTACCAACACTCACAGCGGGGAGCTTGTAACTCACTCATCTGTTACACGATGATAATGGAAACCTATTCTTTAATTTATCTTATTATTTTGTATATGGATTTTAATTATGGGTTCTTGTGTTTTATTGTTGTGGGCATTTTACTTTGAGTGGTGTTTGGTGGTGGAATATAGTGAACGGTCTTTGATCTCTTGCTGTTCAAGACTATGGCGGAGGTATGTAATGGTATTTTATATAACAGTTTAAAGCAAGAGTACAGTGCAACGGTAGAGGAATGACAGGTGCCCAGGATTGGCTGGACTTTGTGAGGGTGGGGACTATATATAATAACGTAATTAATTATATGTTTTGTAATGGATATATGTGAGCCCTAAGAGACATTCTTGGGCTGGGGTCAGGATAACTTATGTCATCACTTTGAGATGTATTTCTTATCTCGATAAACGTATCAATCAATTTGTGAGGAGCGAATCCGCTGTGACTCGTGTCTTGTCGTCGGTGTTTCTCTGGTAAGGTTTGTGAAGTCTGACTAACGTGTAGAGTGACTGCATTCTTCACTATAATCTCTGATATCTGAATAAGAAGGTATGAACGAGAGACCCCGCAGTGCCGTTTGGTTTTATCAACATATGTCACATTACAACGACTACACTTGAATAAGTAAACAGCTGAGGACAATAACTCTTAGGGGTTCGATCTTTGTACTTGAACAACTTTTGAAGATTGTTCTCTGATCTGAATAAGACTCGAAATGAAGTGTATTGATGAAATTTTCTTAATACCTTGCTGATATATATATATATATATATATATATATATATATATATATATATATATATATATATATATATATATATATATATATATATATATATATATATATATATATATATATATATATATATATATGGATAAGCACAAGGAAAGAAGAAAACACGAAGTTCCCAAACGCTTTCGTGTAATTCACATCTTCAGGGGTGAGTACAGACTGAGTCTGTACTCACCCCTGAAGATGTGAATTACACGAAAGCGCTTGGGAACTTCCTGTTTTCTTCTTTCCTTGTGGTTATCAGCATATGCCTGGTTCACGCGCACCCACAGTGATTTACTTGTATATATATATATATATATATATATATATATATATATATATATATATATATATATATATATATATATATATATATATATATATATATATATATATATATATGTTCAAAGTCCGCGTGTTATATGGACTAAAAACAGAAGTGTATATATATATATATATATATATATATATATATATATATATATATATATATATATATATATATATATATATATATATATATATATATATATATATACAGAGTGATTGACAAGTCCCTCTACATCCACAATAATTAGCAAGACATTAATCGTAGTGTATAGTTAAATATATATTTATTGACCTTGTTTTACTGACATTAAATATTGTAAGTGGTTACATTTAATGCTGGTAGTGGATACCATTTTCAATATATTTCCAAGTATAACAATGAACAACTATCATGTTCCTGCAGCTGCACAGGGATTTTTCGATCACCTACACTTGTCAGCTTATACAGGGTATGCAAATAAATGAATAAATCTATATATAAATATATATATTTCTTATATTAATTCGGAGTAGTGCTGGTCACACACTGGTGGGCATGGAAGAAATATGTCGGGGGACGTGGAGGGCGACGGTCATGCTGTGAATAGACAGTATAAAACCCCCTGCCTCCCGCTCTTCTCCTCATTGTTACTTAGTCTTGTGGTTGAGTTGCCCCTATACCTGTCCTCGTTCAAGGTGTGTGACATGTTATCTACAGTAGTTATATCCGTGTAGTGTTTCGGAAAACGGCGCTGTTGTCGGTGGTGGGATATTCAAGAACGAGTCAGATTTACAGAAACTAAAAGTGAAATTACTGGATGAAGGGCTAAAATCTTCTCCACTCGTATTGTGTTAATCTCATAGTAAACGCTGATACTCTGGCCCACACCCCATAGACACCACACCCTGACCCACATCCCTAGACACCACACTCTGACCCACACTTCTAGATAGTACTTCTTACACACACCCCTCCACTAGGGAGAAGGTACTCCTCAAAACTCTCCCTCCTACACAGTTCACCCACACTCGCCCCTCCTCTACACAGTACACCCACACTCACCCCTCCCCTACACATTACACCCACACTCACCCCTCCCCTACACATTACACCCACGCTCACCCCTCCCCTACACAGTACACCCACGCTCACCCCTCCCCTACACAGTACACCCACGCTCACCCCTCCCCTACACAGTACACCCAACCTTCCCCGAGATAGTATACTTTACTTCACACTCCCATGACAGCTCCCACTTGCCCACACACCTCTCGCAACCGTCCCACTTAACGCACCCTAATTGACTAATTAGAAAGGTAGAAGCACATGGCATCAAAGGTAACATCCTTAAATGGATTAGGGCGTGGTTACAGGACAGGAAACAGCGAGTGAGCATTAACGGCACTAAGTCCCATTGGAGCAACGTCACAAGTGGAGTTCCCCAAGGCTCAGTACTTGGACCATTATTATTTATTATATACATAAAACGACATAGATATCGGCATAGACAGCAACATAAGTAAATTTGCTGATGACACTAAAATAGGATGTGTTATTAAATCTGACGAGGACTCCGCAAAACTACAGGAAGATCTAAACAAATTTTTCGAATGGTCTGAAAAATGGCAGATGAAATTCAACGTGGACAAATGTAAAGTACTCGGTATAGGAGATGTAAACAGGGAAACCAGATACCAGATGAACAACGATGCCATAGACAAATCCGACTGCGAGAGAGATTTAGGAGTAATGATAAGTAGGAACCTTAAGCCAAGTAAACAATGTGCTTTTGTTCGTAACAAGGCTAATAAAGTACTTGGGTTCATACAAAGGAGTGTTAGTTACAAGACTAGCGAGGTCATCCTAAAACTGTATCTTACGCTTGTGAGACCACACCTTGGAAAGAATTCAGAGGAGAATGACAAGACTAATCCCGGGCATTAGGAACCTTGAGTATAGAGACAGGTTAAAGCATCTTAATTTGCACTCCCTCGAAAGACGTAGAGCGAGGGGCGACCTGATAGAGGTGTATAAGTAGAAGTCAGGGCTAAACAAAGGGGACATTACAAAGGTACTCAAACTATCCAACCAGGAGCGAACTCGTAACAATGGTTTTAAATTAGACAAATTTAGATTTAGGCGTGAAATAGGTAAACACTGGTTTGGAAACAAAGTAGTGGATGAATGGAACACGTTACCAAATATCATCATTAACTCGAATACGCTGAATAGCTTCAAACATAGGTTGGATGCTTATATGAGCAATAGGGGTTGGGTGTAAACGGGACTGCCCAGTATGGGCCAATAGGCCCGCTGCAGTTTCCTCCATTCTTATGTTCTTATGTTCTTAATCCTACTTGATTCGTCCTGCACTGGTATTCACTAACCAATTTTGGGATTATTTCTGAGGTTAAGAAGTGTTATGAGGTGTTTACTCTGGGAGCGCTAATTACTCCATATAATAAGTCTTATCCTCCTGGAACACATACAACATATGGCCATAGTTCTTATAAAAGAAATCACAGCTTAAATAAGAAAGATGAGGAATTTATGACAAAGTTGATGACAGCTACAACCTTGGGCTGTGGCGACAGATTATAATATAAGAGGCCAACACCAGTCAAGGAAAAAAGAGTCCTGCCTGTACTCTATCCCATCCATAAACCCTGAGACTCATGAACCTGTGAATCCGAGACATCACACGACACACTGCACCATCCATGGGCCTAACAATGTGTTGTGTGTCAGATTCACAGGTTGGAGAACTGACTTGACTTTTCCGTGGCTGTATATTCAGGATCAAAAGTTCTTGTGAAGCAGCATGAACCCTAAATGAGACAAAACAGTACACCCACACCAGACGACAGTCAGGGTAAGTAAGTTCGGAGACTCATTCCGTGACACATTTTCACTTTCTCACGAGCTTATGACCCTGACTGTACATACAATAACTCCCAAAATTGCAGCTAGGTATTGCAAAGAGTCTTTGTTTTGTTTTCTGTGCATAACTATGTGAATCACCTTATGTAAATATGAGTGTGTGTTCTTGTGTCTCAACAGATGGCGAGGGATCACGGTACGACGCTCTACCTTCTGCGGGTCATATCCCTCCTGGTGCTGCTGCTCCCTTCATCCACGCCACAGGTCACTACAAGAAAGGTCGCAGATCAATATAATGCCAGGTTTAAGGTCGTAACAGAACCAGGTCGCAGGTTGTAGCAAAATCAGGTCACGGGTCATAAAGCCAAGTCACGGGTCAACCTTTGTGCCGGTTTCATTTTACCGCACTTTGTCGGGTCCATCACATCCTGTCAATGAGCGAAAAAAAATAGCACTCCACACCACTTTCATCACCACCATTTTTTTATGACTTGACCCTTTGATTTTCACTCTCCCAACACTTGGGAAATTCCAGCAAGCGAGCTCAATAATTTTAGGTTATGGAAATGTCGGTCTGAGGCTGTGAGGGACGTCTGTCTTACGTAAGAACCTAAGATTGGAGGAAACTGCAGCGGGCCTATTGGCCCATACTGGACAGTCCCATTTACATCCAACCCCTATTGCTCACATATCCATCCAACCTATGTTTGAAGCTATCCAGCGTGTTCAAGTTAATGATGATGTTTGGTGGCTGTGTTACTAAGACATAAGTGGCTGTTACTAAGACATAAGTGGCTGTGTTACTAAGACTTAAGTGGCTGTTACTAAGACATAAGTGGCTGTGTTACTAAGACTTAAGTGGCTGTATTAATAAGGCATAAGTGGCTGTGTTACTAAGACTTAAGTGGCTGTATTAATAAGGCATAAGTGGCTGAGTTACTAAGACATAAGTGGCTGTGTTACTAAGACATAAGTGGCTGTGTTACTAAGACATAAGTGGCTGAGTTACTAAGACTTAAGTGGCTGTATTAATAAGGCATAAGTGGCTGAGTTACTAAGACATAAGTGGCTGTTACTAAGAAATAAATGGCTCTGTTACTTGGACATAAGTGGTTGTGTTACTAAGACGCATTTGTTGTGCTATTAAGATGTAACACTGCGTGACTCAGACTTCATATATCTTAGTAACGCAGTCAGTTACATTTCAATAGCACAGCAAATGCGTCTTGGTAAGTCAGCCAGACACCTCTTGGTACTACAGCACAGTCAGTTACCTAACTTGATAACATGGAGTGTTACGTCATAGTAACATAGCTGCGTCAGAATTCATAATGGCGTCGTTGAAAATGGCGGTCGGCAGCATCAATTTGTTAATTGCCATACTTTTTAAACCACTTGACATAAATATCTTATTTTCAAGGGTTTTCAACGATGTCTTACACAAAACACACAAAGGGCCACAACGAGACTCCAATTACAAAAACTGTAAGCACACGAGTTGCTCATCGAAACCTGACTCATATATTGTTATATGAGATGTGTTGGGAACATTACTACAAAAAAGTATCCTTTGAATTGAGTGTATAATGAGGTGCAGTGAAGTGACTGAAGTCCGACTTTGTGGCATCCACACCTCTGCTGCTGCGCTACAGACTAGCAGCCACAGTAAATAATGTACAGTAGCTTCTCTGGGGTTGCTAGTTTCGTGGCGCGCATACCGGTATGTTAGGTAATATATTTTCAATACTGAGATGAAAACAAGTTTTATTATTCAGTAACTTTACTAGTTTTCTCATTTCACTTTCAATGATCCACTTCTTGGTAACTTCGCACATCCCAGGCGTAGGTCATGGCATCAGGTGGAAGTAAAATTAACTGTAAATGAATGAGCCTAAACACTTAATGAACTCTAGAATATTGTGCTATATATGTTTGCTGAGTTTGGTTAGATACGATATGACGATCCTTCTATAAGGTTCATTTATAAGGTTGAGTTAATATGTACTACTGTATAAGAGTTACTGTATGTATTTATAACGTTAGTGTTTAAGTACAACATAGAGTGTGACAATTTGCCTGCTGGAAGATATCCCTGTGATCTTGATTCTCATAATCTTACGTTTATTTTTGTGTTCCCGTAAGTCTTATTTTCTGAAGAACCGACAGTTCTTCGCCTACATCACGGCGATATGCCACAAGAATTACAAAGCATATACAGTGTTCATGATGACACTGATGACAGGTTGTACTGTAGGTGATCTGCAAAGGTCAAGTTAGTTATCATTTATCTTCGTCTTAGCGCACTTGGAGGCCTTAAACAACTCCACGGTAAAAGTAATTGATTCCAGTATAATATAATATTCGTAGGTTACAAATCTGATAAAGGTAATCAGTCTAAACACTCAAATAAAATATGAAACGCATAAGCACTTACTCAAGATTTAATTGAAAGTTGATGACGCCATACAAGGTATTGGTGCTAAAAACAAACGGCTGAATCTTACATATCGAGAGTCAAGTTAGTTGTACGAGATACAGGTGAAATGGACTCGCTTTCTGTGTAGACTGTTCTAATAACCTAACCTAATAGATATATCCCTACCTGGTTAAGTTTTGTACGTACCTCGTGTTTGTCACTCTTAAATTTTAAGTTAATAAACTATTCCAAGGAAAGAACCCACTCTTTTGACCCGTAACTCACTGGCATTCTTTTGATATACCTAACAGATAGTATGGAGATGAGAAACAACATTACCTGGTTGGACATAAAGAACCTCAGGCCATAATATGTCCCTCAGTCTAGGAATGCTTATGTCTCTCACCCTTCCTTCACTGTGTGTCCTTCCACACAAGATAAACACCATCTAGGAACCCCACCTATCATGTTACCTTGTGTTTGTTGTTGTGGCAGGAACTGCAGCAGGCAGGAACAGCGGGAACGCACAAGATCAACCGTGTACACTTAACAGATGGACGAGCACCTCACGAAGGCAACATTGAGGTCAGTGCACACCTTCACCGTGTCGTGCTGGAATGTGTGTGTGTGTCATGGTGGAGTGTGTGTGTGTGTGTGTGTGTGTGTGTGTGTCATGGTGGAGTGTGTGTGTGTGTGTGTGTGTGTGTGTGTGTGTGTCATGGTGATGTGTGTGTCATGGTGGAGTGTGTGTGTGTGTGTGTGTGTCATGCGCTGGTGTGTGTGTGTCATGCTGAGAGTGTGTGTGTGTGTGTCACGGTGAGTGTGTCGTGGTGGAGGTATGGGGTCATGTGTGGGTGTGTGTGTGTGTGTCATGGTGAGGAGTGTGTGTGTGTGTGTCATGGTGAGTGTGTGTGTGTGTGTGTCATGCTGAGTGTGGGTGTCTGCAGGAGTGTGTGTGTGTGTGTGTGTCATGGTGGGAGTGTGTGTGTGTGTGTGTGTGTGTGTGTGTGTGTGTGTGTCATGGTGGAGTGTGTGTGTCATGCTGAGGTGTGTGTGTGTCATGGTGGAGTGTATGTGTGTGTGTGTGTCATGGTGGAGTGTGTGTGTGTGTGTGTCACGGTGAGTGTGTGTGTGTGTGTGTGTATGTATGTCTGTGGAGTGTGTGTGTGTCATGGTGGAGTGTGTGTGTGTGTGCTGGGAGGTGTGTGTGTGTGTCATGGGAGGTGAGGTGTGTGTGTGTGTGTGTGTGTCATGTGGGAGGTGTGTGTGTGTGTGTGTGTGTGTCATGGTGGGAGTGTGTGTGTGTGTGTGTGTCATAGGGAGGTGTGTGTGTGTGTCATGGCAGGTGTGTGTCATGGTGGGAGTGTGTGTGTGTGTGTGTGTGTGTGTGTGTGTGTATCATGGTGGATTGTGTGTGTGTGTGTGTCATGGTGGTGTCATGGTGGAGGTGAGGTGTGTGTGTGTGTGTGTGTGTGTGTGTCATGGTGGGTGGTGTGTGTGTGTGTGTGTGCATGTCATGGTGGAATGTGTGTGTGTGTGTGTGAATGTGTGTGTGTGTGTGTGTGTGTGTGTGTGTCATGGTGGAGTGTGTGTGTGTGTGTGTGTGTGTGTGTCATGGTGGAGTGTGTGTGTGTGTGTGTGTGTGTATATGCAGGAGGTGTGTGTGTGTGTATGTCATGGTGGAGTGTGTGTGTGTGTGTGTGCTTGTGAGTGTGTGTGTGTGTGTGTCATGGTGGAGTGTGTGTGTGTGTGTGTGTCATGGTGAAGGTGTGTGTGTGTGTGTGTGTGTCATGGTGGAGTGTGTGTGTGTGTGTCATGGTGAGTGTGTGTGTGTGTGTGTGTGTGTATTGCAGGAGTGTGTGTGTGTGTGTGTCATGGTGGAGTGTGTGTGTGTATGGCAGTGTGTGTGTGTGTGTGTGTGATCATGGTGAGTGAGTGTGTGTGTGTGTGTCACAGGAGTGTGTAATTTGTGTGTGTAATGCGGGAGTGTGTGTGTGTGTGTCATGGTGGAGAGAGAGTGTGTGTGTGTGTGTGTGTGTCATGGTGGGAGTGTGTGTGTGTGTGTCATGGTGGAGTGTGTGTATGTGTGTCATGGTGATGTGTGTGTGTGTGTGTGTGTGTGTCATGGTGGGAGTGTGTGTGTGTGTGTGTGTGTGTCATGGTGGAGGTGTGTGTATGTGTGTGTCATGGTGAGTGTGTGTGTGTGTGTGTATAATAATAATAACAAACGGTTTATTGAAAGTTCTGCCCGAAGGCTGAAAATATACATGGACATAAATGACTTATTACATACATTGGTGGTTTAAAAAAGCCTTCATTAGAGAAAGGTAAAGGAACACAGTGAACATACAGATTAATGTTTACATACACGTAGATTATGTGAGCTGAGGTGTTAAGCACGTAGTGTAGTAACTCTTCACAGATGGCGTTAAGAGGGCTTGACGTGGTGTAGTAATTCCCTACAGATGGTGTTGAGGAGCCTGATGATGTAGTAGTACCCTCACAGTTGGTGCATGAGGGCCTGATGTGGTGTAGTAATTCCCTCACAGATGGTGTTATGAGGGGCCTGATGGTGTAGTATTCCCTCACAGATGGTGTATGAGGGCCTGATGTGGTGTAGTAACTTCATAGATGGTGTTAGAGGGGCATCACATGGCGTAGTAATTCTCACAGATGGTGTTATGAGGAACTCTCACATGAGTGCTGTAGCAAATCTCACTATGTGGTGTCGTAGCATCATGGGGACACCACGTGGTCAGTTGTCACAGGACTTACCTCACTCAAGTGGTGAGGTGTGGTCCCAGGCTTCTCTATCGTGGAGTCTCAGGAAGTTATCACTGGGTACCTGGGACCTCACTGTGTGAAGGTTGAGCTAGTAAGACTCGTGCCGAGTTGTTTTTCACTGACTCTGAGCACTGTTCACCACTATTCAACACTGAACCATTCTCCTTCCCACATGAAAATAGTAACTTCTGGTGAGAACTTGTTGATATTCCGGTGGAAAGAGGGTTCAGGGGAGGAGTTGTGCTAGGCCAACATAACAGTTGACGTGGCTGCTGCTGAGCAGCGCCAGGTGCGTCTGACCCGTCTTGACCCGTCGGTGGTCGGTGGTCAAGCGTGTGTGTGTGTGTGTGTCATGCAGGAGAGTGTGTGTGTGTCATGGTGGAGTATGTGTGTATCATAACGGAGTGTGTGTCGTGGTGATTGATTTTGATTTTGCGCTTGCAGCGGTACTTTATTGTCGCACCAACTCATCCCGTGAGCGGTAGCACAAAGGATTACAGAGTAGGGTTTACAAAGGATCATAATAATTAACCCCGTTGTCAGGAATTATGGCACTGAAAGTTACACAGTATTTCATTTACATTATTTGTTTAGTTCTATATACAAGGTTAACTTATTCACAAATGCAGGAGAACAGGCGTGTGAGGCAGTATGTCTGGCTCACACTTTGTTACATTCAATTACGTGGAGGTATTCAGCCATTGGTATTTGGTTCTGTACATGAGAATTGATACAGTTACTAAGCAAAAAAGTGATACAATCTAATATGTCGGCTATCTTGCCATTAGAGATGAAGTGTTGTGCCATTTCACACACAGTGTGCTGGACCTGTCCCTATGAAGTTCTATCTTCACACAGTTAGGACGTGGTAGCTATGTGTAAATATAAGGTCAGCACACTTACATTTAGTTTTGTTTACATCTGCTTGAGGAACATACTGCCAAAGGTACTTATATCCTAACCTTTATCTAGCGGTTACAACATCTTGTATCTAGTGATCTTGTTACTTGCTCCATATACATGTTTCACTGGATCACATCTCATCATGGTAACCTATGGATCGACTAGTGCCTGTTTGCACTACTTGCGTCAAACTCATCAATAAGTTCTTTCCAATCAGTTTTAAGGGCTTTTTGACAGACCCAAATTGTATTCAACGTGTCTTTGTTAGACGCGAGTTTGGGAGGGCATCAACCTGTCATGTTTTAGGAGGCCTATGTGAGAGGATCCACAACAGTTTGACCCTGACACCCTGGTCAACAAGGCACGCATATTTATGTCTGGCTTCAGAGACAAGAGCGTGACAACCTGAGTTTGTAGAGTGGATGCCAGTTGTTAATTCTAACTCCTTTCTCAATTATATTACCGTCAGGTTGAGTCACAACAATAGCACTTCCAGCCCTCCCACAGGTGGTGTTTAGAGATCCATCAGTGTAGATGGTCTGTGTGATGTTATCATCAGTCTGTAGAGTGTGTATGTGTCAAGAGCTCTCACTTTGGCAGTGTGTTGGAGATAAATGCTTGTATAATTAATTTTAGGGTGACACGGTATTGTGATATCGAAGGGAACTGTCTGCCAGGCAGGAAGCGCTGTTGTGTCTCAACTTTGTACAGGTGGTCTAGTCCAACATCTTCATATGTGTAGCTGTAGTTTGGATCCATTTAGACCAGTAGTCCCATGGTGTCGTGGTGAAGTGAAGTGTATGTGTGTGTCTGCAGAGTGACGGTTGAGGAGGGAGAGGGACGGTGGCAGGAGTGACGGTGGTGGGGAGTGCGAGTGACGGTGGCAAGAGTGTGACGGTGACGGTAGTGAATGCAGTGACAGGCGAGGAGTGACGGTGGGGAGGAGAGGACGGTAGGAGGGAGAGTGACGGTAAGTGTGACGGTGGCGGTGGTGAAGAGGAGTGACGGTGGGAGAGTGAGAGTGACGGTGGCGAGAGGAGAGTGACGGTGGCGAGAGTGACGGTGGTGGGAGCGAGATTGACGGTGGCGGGAGGAGAGTGACGGTGATGAGAGGAGTGACGGTGGTGGGAGTGAGAGTGACGGTGGCGAGAGTGACGGTGGAGAGTGACGGGTGGCGGAGCGAGAGTGACGGGAGCGAAAGTGACGGTGCTGGTGGCGGGAGTGAGAGTGACGGTGGCGGGAGTGACGGCAGGAGCGGGAGTGACGGTGGCGGGAGGAGGAGTGGCGGTGGCGGGAGTGAGAGTGACGGAGGGAGGAGAGTGGCGGTGGCGAGAGGACGGTGGCGGGAGCGAGGACGGGAGCGAAAGTGACGGTGGCGGATCCAGAGTGACGGTGGCGGGAGTGAGAGTGACGGTGGCGGGAGTGACGGTGGCGGGGAGGAGTGACGGTGGCGGGAGCGAGAGTGACGGTGGCAGGAGCGAGAGGATGGGAGCGAAAGTGACGGTGGTGGGATCCAGAGGACGGTGGCGGGAGTGACGGCAGGAGCGGGAGTGACGGCGGGAGCGAGATGACGGTGGCGGGAGTGAGGACGGTGGCGAGAGGACGGTGGCGGGAGCGAGAGTGACGGGAGCGAAAAGGATGGGGATCCAGAGTGACGTAGCGGGAGGAGAGGTGACGGTGGCGGGAGGACGGTGGCAGGAGCGGAGGACGGTGGCGGGAGCGAGAATGACTGGCTGGAGGAGAGTGACGGTGGCGAGAGTGAACGGTGTCGGAGCGAGAGTGACAATGGCGGGAGCGAGAGTAACGGTGGCGAGAGGGAGAGTGACGGCAGGCGTGGATGAGAGTGAGCGGTGGCGAGAGGAGAGTGACGGTGGCGAGAGTGACGGTGGTGGGAGGAGAGTGACGGTGCCGGGAACGAGAGTGACGGTGGCGGGAGCGAGAGGACGGTGGCGGAGTGAGAGGACGGTGGCGAGAGTGACGGTGGTGGGAGTGAGAGTGACGGTGGCGGATCGAGAGTGACGGTGGCGGGAGTGGAGAGTGACGGTGGCGAGAGTGACGCAATGGAGCGAGGAGTGACAATGGCGGAGCGAGTAACGGTGGCGAGAGGAGAGTGACGGTGGCGAGAGTGACGGTGGTGGGAGGAGAGGACGGTGGCGGGATCGAGAGTGACGGTGGCGAGAGGAGAGTGACGGTGGCGAGAGTGGGTGAGGACGGTGGCGGGAGCGAGAGGATGGTGGCGAGAGTGAGGTGGCGGGAGCGAGAGGGATGGTGGCGGGAGTGAGAGTGACGGTGGCGGGAGGAGAGTGACGGTGGCAGGAGGGAGAGTGACGGTGGCGGGAGCGAGAGGACTGTGGCGGGAGCGAGAGGACTGTGGTGGAGCGAGAGGACTGTGGCGAGAGTGACGGTGGTGGATCGGGAGTGACGGTGGCGGGAGCGAGTACGGGAGCGAAAGTGACGGTGGCGGAACCAGAGTGACGGTGGCGGGAGTGAGAGTGACGGGAACGAGAGTGACGGTGGCGGGAGCGAGAGTGACGGTGGCGGGAGCAGAGTGACGGTGGCGGGGTGATACGGTGGCGGAGCGAGAGGACGGGGCGGGAGCGAGAGTGACTATGGCGAGAGGGAGAGTGACGGTGGCTGGAGCGAGGGACGATGGCGAGAGAGAGTGACGGTGGCGAGAGAGAGAGTGACGGTGGCGGAGCGAGAGTGACGGTGGCGGGAGGACGGTGGCGGGAGCGAGAGTGACGGTGGCGGAGCGAGAGGATGTGGCGGAGCGAGTGACGGTGGCGGGAGCGAGAGGACGGTGGGAGAGAGCACGTGGCGGAGAGGAGTGACGGTGGCGGGACAGAGTGACGGTGGCGGGAGCGAGAGTGGATGCGGGAGCGAGAGATGACGGTGGCGGGAGCCGAGGACGGTGGCGGGAGCGAGAGGGACGGTGGCGGGAGCGGAGACGGGAACGAGAGTGACGGGCGGGAGGACGGTGGCGGAGCGAGAGTGACGGTGGCGGGGAGCGAGAGTGACGGTGGTGGGAGCGAGAGTGACGGTGGAGCGAGAGTGACGGTGGCGGAGAGGACAGCAGGCAGAGAGAGAGTGACGGTGTTGAGCGAGAGGGACGGTGGCGGAGCGAGAGGGACGGTGGCGGGAGCGAGAGTGACGGAAACGAGAGTGACGGTGGCGGGAGTGACGGTGGCGGGAGCGAGAGTGACGGTGGCGAGAGGACAGGGCGGGAGCGAGAGTGACGGTGGCGAGAGTGACGCTGGCGGAAGGGAAGCATAAAAGATACTACCGTGAAATAACGGATATTATATAGTATTTCTTTAATATTCCTATAACACTGTGATGTACCCTTCCTTACAACGCACACTCCAGGTTGAGGTCGACGGAGTTTGGGGGTTCGTGTGCGACGACGGCTTTGGCTTCGTGGAGGCGGACGTTGTGTGTCGCGACCTGGGGTATGAACGTGCCGAGACCTTCACCCGCAACAACTACTTCGGTAATAATTCTCCAGGTGTTTAAAAGAGCGTTTGTCTCTTATTTATTGTTCCCAAATCAAACCTTTTGTTTATTATTTAGAAGTCGTGTGGGGAAAGACATTAAACATGTTGTTATATTTGAAATGCACCAACAGGTATGTTAATACTGGAATTCTTGTTCTATCAACTCCTAAATCTTATCCAGCATATTTCAATCTGCTAATACCGTACTACAGCTGCATCAAAAATGTATTTTACTGCCGTTTCAGTCCCCAAACTATCTTGTGTGAGGCATTAGGATGTTTTTGATTGAGTCCTTCAAAAGACAACTAACTTCACTTTATTCAACATGAATTCATCACGGTGTGGATTTTCATTTATTAGATGCTACTTGTATATCTGCAGGATACATGTCCGTTGTACGTTTCTGTTTGCAGCTTCATGAGGAATAGCAGTTTTCTTTTTATGTTAATCTGCTACACTTCTAGTTTCTAAAACGAAAACATGTAAAAACAGTTCTTCACCACCACTGTTAATATTAATCATTACTATTTTGTGTATGTGTTAGTTAAGTTACAGGTAACACCAATCAATGCAGGAAACAACCAGCACAATGTATGCGAGAATTGGATATTCCTGGAAACATAGGATAGTGTAACATTATTAGAAAAGCGACACAGTAGCTGTTACCGCCACAGTAAGATAAGCTAGAAGAGAGAGAAAGAGAGGGATAAAC